ACCGCTCTCTAAATTTAACTTCTTAAAGCAGTTCCATCTAATATGTACTTCTGAGAACGGTTCCATCTATACTGCTCTCGTAATTGTATTTTGGAGAGCGGTTATTAAATAACTGCTCTGAAAAGTATAGATTAGAGAATGATTATTTCTTAATCACTCTCAGATGTTATATTTTTAAATTAAACTTAAGCCATAATCTGGTTATCTTTGTCGCCCCGCCAAGTTTTTGTATTTCAAATTTGTCCGTGTTCAATGTTTTGTGAGAAATTTTTGCAGAAGAACAATCACACTTGATATCGCATTCGCAAATTTAAGGTATATTTATAATTGTTTCTTGGTTTTCTAGCAATGTTTGGACATTGACACTCTGTCATTCTCTCTGTTCACTGAAACACACTTGTATTATTGACGTTGAACAGTTATAAAGGTCTGTCCTCCATACTTGCTTCAGCTGAACTGCGACAAATTAGTGGAACTTCGTTCATTCCAGCAAGTTAGTGTTGTTGTGTTTGTTTGATCATGAAATTAGTTTTAATTTTGTAAAAGTTGACAATTGTTGCGTGACAAAGAGCATGAAATTAAGACACTAGAATGAGATAATGCAAGTTATAATTTGCAAATGTAGTGAAAACCAAATAGAAAAAAATAATCAACATTTATTTGATCACAATATAATAAAATTTTTTCAGAAAATATAATTTTAAATAAAAACAATAGAGATTGATCCTTACATGTCAAGTTCTTATTCCTAGTACCCTTCTTTTGATGTTGGTCATCATTGATTTTATTTGCTACTGAAAAATATTGTTCATAAACCAAAGACACGCGTTGTTAGTTAAAAGAAAAAAAAAGTTTATTAATATTCTGAACCAGAAAAATGAGATTGCATTTTAAAAAAAAATAAAAATTGGTTTCTTATTTGCATTTTTTTATCTTTTATTATTTCTATTTTTACAAAGAAAAAGTAACAAAACAAATAAAAAAAGTTGAAAAGGATGCATTGTATTCACAATTAATGTTACACAATTTTTTGATATAAAATTATCACATGATAGTGTGTATTACATGAATTTTTTCTATTTAAACAAAAATTTTAAATAAAAATAAATATTTTACTACATTAAATAAATAAGACTTTTAAATTAATAAAAATTTGAATAAACATTTACTTTAGTCCTATGTAGTGTTATTTAAATCATTCTCTTAATATTAAAATTTTAAATGTGAGTCTCTAATATAATTAATCATTAATCAATATAGTCTTTGTTATTAAAAAAATAAAGTAATGATTTGTCTCATTGTTTTGCGCTTATAGTTTGAGAAAATTAGACCCAGTGAAAATAGAGAAGTTTTGGAGTAGTGGAGGAAGTGGAAATAGAGGAGAGAAAGGTGAAAATGAAGAAAATAGAGAAAACTTATAGAAGTGAGAAGTTGGCATTTTGATAAGGAGAGGTACAACGTTATATGTTAGAAAGAATTCAGAGATTTGACAAAGTATTTGAGAAGTGAACACTATTGTTGTGGTGGTTATAGGAAGTAATAAAGACGTCGTAGAAGAACGTGGACCATAAGAAAAAAGAAATGAGGAAGTGAATGAAACATTATTGTTCAAAAATTTTGAAAATCAAAAATAAAAATGAACTAATTTTTAAAGATCTTAAAATATTGTTGTTTTATGTCTACGATGTATTGTGATATGTCACTTAATATAATAAATTATTAATTTGTTATTTAATTTTAACATTTTTTAATGACAAGAATTGAAGTGATTAATAATGATTAATTTCATTAACTAAAATTTAAAAGATATATTTTAGAGAATAAATTAGGAGTTTATCCATAAAAAATTGTAAAAATAAAATATTAAAAATAATTTATATTTTTATTGATATGCACGATGAACGATTAAATCACAATATAAGACGAACAATAATTAAAAAATATAAAATTTTAGCTTAATAGAAGAAATAGAGAGAAGATCAATGCAATGATGAGAAAAAGAATAAAAAAAATTAATGCATTGTTAGGATAATATAAAATAGAAGAAAATAAAATAAATTCTTCTACTTATTTAAATATTTAGAAAAAAATAAAATGTTAGATAAATTGTATTATAAATAATTATAAAGATTAAAATTAAGAAATTTTTAATTTTTTACTATAACATTTTTTATTAAAATTTATATTTTTAATTTTTTATATTATATAAATATTATTTAATAATTTAATTTAAAATATTTTAAAAAAATTATTAAACTCAAGTTCTAATTCCTTTCTACTCACAAATATCTCTCCTTCCTCTTCCTTCTAAGGTCCTCCCAGTATTTGTTAACTCTACTCTTTTTCATGTGTCCCTCCTAGTTTCCCTTTCTAAACCAAACTAAATGTAAAGTTTATTATAGCAAAATATTAGAAAATTTTAATTTTAAAAATTCATTGTAGCAACATAGTGCAAAATTTTTAATTTAAAAAATTAATGATCTTTAAAATTTAATTTGATTCTGAGAGTTGTTTTTTAAATATATTACTTTTTATAAAAGAGAAATATGACTTTACAAGAATTATTTTAGTTAGACATGTCTAATTCTTACTCTTATTTACTATGCAACGAAGAAATAAAAGTCATACAATCTTTAGAAGAACTTAAAATTTACTATTTCAATTTTTAATCTCTTGTTTAAAAGGCAAGATATGTTTGAAAGGTTTGAACATGTTTTGACTCGTTAAAAGAAAGATTTTTTTTTAAAACGTTATATGAAATATTAGATAATAGAGCTATACATGTACTCTTATAATTGTATAACACTAGAGGATAATCTAAGTGTGGTGTTTTTAAAGAGTTTGATTTAGTTACCCAATTTTTACATCAAGTATTCACAAAATTTAATTTATTATCATGGGTTGATTTAGCTAAAATATTTTGTTAGTTTCCTTAAAAAAAAAAAAAACAAAATCAAACACTTTATTTAAAATACTTTGTTGACCGAGTTATTATAAGTCAATATTTTTATGGGAGCAACGAGAGACATGTTAGAGTAGGAAAATCTCTTGTCAAGTTAAAATAGATTTTATAAATCATTTTTCATCTTTTATTGTCTCCCTAATTCCATTTTCTTATTTTATTTTTAGGGTTAAAATAAATATTTAAAAAGTTTTTAACGATTGCACAATTAATTAATTTGAAAGCAATATTTTTTAAAGGGAGCTATCAAGGGCGCAATGAATTTATTTATTTATTACTCTTTTTCATTATCAGACTCCTAAATTTAAACTCGATTTTCAAACATTATTGTTAAAAATAACCTTTTTAAATTTTATAATTTTATTTGGTTCTAAGGAGGCGAATGTTGTAATGAGCTTTACCTTAAGCAAATCTTTTGTTTGATGATTTAAAATTGTTGGGTTAGAATATGTTATTCATTGATTTTACTTACTACAATAATATGTATTGGAAACTTGGATACTTGTGTATCAAATGAGAATTTATAGTTTTATCAATTTATTAAAAAATTGTACATAAAAAATTTATAATTTTATTTGATAAAAAAAATAATAATAAAATACTGTTAAAAAATCACATGAGTAATTAAACGGTGAAACACGTCAAAATTTAGTATTTTTATTTTCCTTTTGCTTTTTCCTATTTTATGTGAATGCTTTCTGAAATTTAGAATGTTGAGGCTCTTCTGTTCCTCCCAACAAAAATATTCCTTATTTCCTTTAATAAAATTTTTATTTACTGATAACAAAAATAACAAAACCAGTTTATTAGGTTACAACTTTCCCGTACTTAGTGTTCCGAGTTTTGATAAATATTTTATTTATTATTCTTATCTCTAGGGTTGACATCAAGTTTTGTACAAAAAGATTATGCAGGAAGTAGCTCAAGTGCAGATGACCAAAGAAGGTAAAGATAGTTGGATATGGAAGTTGTAACCAGCAACTTCGTTTTTGTTAGATCTGCTTATTGTGCTCTGTTGAGGCAATCCGGTGGATAAGATTTTTCCAAACATTTCCGGTGAAAAGTGGTGCCTCCGAAGGTTTATGCGCATTTACATAGAAAATTTGGAAAGGAAGAATTCCAACTGGGGCTTATCTTCATAAAAGAAAATTTCTGAGTATGGAAATGCAAATACTTTATTCTTCTGATGTTTGTTCTCTTTCATGGCATTGTCTTCGTGCTATAGATGGCTAGGGTTGTAAGACTTGTATATATAAAACACCACCTTCAACGTAGGGTGAGAATCTTTAAGCGACGTCAAAACAACGATCGGTATAGTATATGGTTTGCAACACTGTGGTCTTTGTGGATTTGTAGGAATAATAAGCTCTTCAAGAACAAAGAAATTAAGCGACGTGGCTGTTGTTCTAGAGATCATTTGAATTAGGACATGGAATGGACTTAGAGAAAAAGTCACGGGTTTACTTTCTCCTTCTATGAGTGGGTCAAAGCACCAACGCCATGTCTAAAATCTTTATAAATTTACTTTGAGGTTTTTTGAATTGGGTAACAATTACAATAGAGTTGTTTGTATGTTGTATCTTAACAAATGTTACCCCCTATACTGTCTTCTACTTTGTAATTGTTTTCAGTCGAAGTACTCCTTGTACTTGTAAAATTTTGTTGGCTTATCAAAAAAATTTCTTATCTCAAGGGGTACCAGCAGAAAAAATATTTCTGTGCCAATTGTAAGTGCTGCCATATAAAAGAATAAAACTCCAATTATTTTATATCGTTATTTTACACTCTTCTCAACAGTATTGTTGGAAAATATGATCCCGTACTGTGCTTCTCAATTAATCAAAGTAAACAATTACAAACATTGAAGACATTTTTGTGTATCATGAAGAATACATGTACCCATATATAATACATTGTCATATAATAAAGCTCAAACTTGTGCAAAACGATTTTCGTTATAATACACACTTATAATTAATCGCAAGTTGTCTACATTTGGACGTATAAAACGTACTTAATGCTTTACTTTCTTAACAAATCAGTTTACCATCCTGCAATTCAAACGAATTTCACCCTGATTCCCGGTGAGGGGCTTTATATTTCCCATCTTAATCATAGATTTTGCGAAGTCCTTGAAGAAAGCTACGGTATCGTAGCTGTATTTCTTAACCAATGCATCCGTAGAACCACCATTGAACAGTTCCTGATCGGAGTGAAGAATCCCTCTTTTATGAACCAAATCAGAGAAGTAAGCTGAATCAAAGTGTGCCGTTGTTTGATCCAAAGGAGCAAGGTTGAAGTCTCCTCCTTCTCTTGGGCAAATGTATTTAAGTGCTTCTGCAAAGTGGGGATTGATATTAGAGTCATTGTAGATATGGTCCCGAAAAGTAGTACAACGTGCATATCCAATTGTGTGGCCTCCAGAAAGAACAACCAAGTCCTTCTCATTTAGGCCATGGCTCTTGAAGTTGCTAATAAGTTGAGAAAGACTGAAGAATGGTGGAGGGATGTTGGCATTTGCAGCATCACGGCTTGCTGTGGTGGAGTCTCTTCTCCCCAATCTCACATTCCATGTTGCCCCCCCTAGCTGCATGTTGCATACCACTTGATTGATTAATTGTTGTTGTCAATTTTTATTCATGCATATTCCATGTTCCTAGAAACAACGTTTTCTTTCTTATATAAGGTGTTACACACTCAAACTTCATTCGAATATAGATGTCTAAATCAACCCACGTGTTGTCACCCAAATATACACATGGAATTAATGCATTGTGGGTGGGTTTATAATCAATATTTTAGATAAAAATATTATTTTATGATTCTTATGTTGCGTCTGCTTTACATATTTTGAAAAATATGAACTTAGTAACAAAAACGAGAGAAAGAAGATTGAGTAAAAGACTCTTTCAATTGGTGTAAATTTAAGCGTAAGAAAATATGGTGTGAAATATTCACGGTTATTTTAGAATATCTTGTACAAAAAAACAAATTATTACATTAGTTTGGTTCAGTTGTTCCCTCAAAGTTCTCGATACAATAAAATAAAGAAAATTATATTATTCTCTGCTCTACTAGACTTGGTAAACAAATTATATAAAAATAGAGTTATCTAGTAATTCAATTCAAGAAGTAAGCCAATAAAAAATATGAGTACTGCTATTTTAACATCCAATTTGGGTATATACTTAGCTACCTTGTACAGATTAAAAAGTAATTATGATATAATTGTATACAGTATTTAGTATAAATGCCTAAATCAAGTATTAAAATAATATTATTCTAAAAATATATACTATATGGAGATGAGAATTCAATGTAGCATTTATGGTATAGTGAGTAGTACGAAGTATTATATTACTCACCGCAACCACAGAGTCACGAGCGGCTACAGCCAGTATATCAGCGCAAGAAACAACTGGTTTTCCGCATGCTTCGTCCACTGCTTGCTTGATCGCATCCACCACTTCAAATCCTCTTACAGACTGAAAATTAGGAATTGCATTCTTTTCGCTGTCAATGGTGGGTGAGGGGTCTAGTAGAATTGAGCCATCACAACCCTGAATCACCATCATAAAACCAAGTAATTGATTAATTGTCACACTCACGTATTTACATAATACAATAATCATACTTGTGTTTATGCGTGTGTTTATATTAGTATATATAGAAGAGTAATACTACTTATATAATAGTTTTATAAAACCTTTCACTGTACATAAATGATTAGATGAAAAGAAAGAAATAGAAGATAAAAAGTGATATAATTAAAAGAGATAAAAAAATTACTATAAAAATTGTTGTATATGAATATCAATTTCTTAACTTTGTATAAAATAGTACATAAAAAATTATATATAATAAACTTTTATTAAAAATCATAAATTTTATAATATTAATATTATAAATTATAAATTTATTATTTATTTATTACGTATCGTTTTGCATGGATTGAAAAAATTGACATATTATTCCTCAAAATAAAAAAATCTTACATTAACAAAGCAATCATGGAAGTGCAAGCGTAATAAAGAAGCGCCCATACGCCGTTCTTTCTGCACCGCAGCTTCCACAACACTTCTAATGGTGCTCAAAGCGTTAGGGCACGAGTAGTCATAGTAATGAGGTGACAATTTTGAGAACACTGTGGTTGCAAATGCTGCAAACACCAAGGCATGGAGAACAAAAGAGATATTCTTGTGCGAGGCCATTTATATTTTGCAATGGAATAATCACTACTTTATATTTGGCTAGGTATCTAAGCTAAATATTAAGATCACTAGTGAGCAAAGATGGAACCAATATTGTTGGATTATAATTAGCGTTGCTACAGCCCCTTCATATTTATAGAGAGACAGAGGATGAGTCTCAGAATAAAATAGAATGAGTACGCTATATCATGCTAGTGGTTGGTGGACTGGGCCTAAAATTGACCATTTCTATCTATCAAGGCATTAAGGAACATTTAGTTAACTTGATTGAGTACACTTTGGATAACAATGGGGGAAAAAGAACCTGTCTTTGATTGATTTAGTCCATGGGATTTGTTAATTGAAAGTCAACCATAAAAAGATATATTCGTATCACGAGAAATGTCCAAAGAATGCATCTACTTCGATTGAATTAATCCAGACTGTCACTTTTATTACAATATGTGTGCGTACCTTCCTTTGTCAAAGAACATGCATGTGAGAGTTGGTAAGTTTTAATTTAAGTGTTGTGTTATGTATCTAACAATGTTTTATAACTTTAGAATCCCTGTTTACTTTGTTATATATTTTTTATTTATTTTTAATATGTCAATTATTAGATTTATTTTCTAGCACTATTCCGCAAGTGTAATTTGCTTGGTCCAATTTGTACATTGTCGTAAATCTCAAATCTGTTTGTACTTCAATATTATACTACAACTTGTGTGCTGGCTCCTGTCCAACAGGGCGAGAGATCTAATTAATGAACTTTTTTTCTTCATAAATCTAATTAATAAACTTTAATTCGATATTTTATTTATTGCAAAATATTTTGATATTAAACACATAACTTTTTATTTATATATTTTTTTATTTGCATTTAACTCATTAATGTGACACATTTTCCAACAACTTTCATGCATATAAAAAGAGTTATGATTTTACATTATTAATTTATCAAAACTGCTAACATGGCTTATCAATAAAAGATATTATATTACTATTATTGGAAGAATATGAAAGTTTTAAAATATTCATAACCTTAACATTATGAAACTAAACAGAGGTGCAGCAGTATTTTCGGTGATTCTACCTCTTCTATGGAGTGATATCATTGAGTTGTCTTTATTTATCTATTTTGTATTGTTGAGTCATTAATATTTTTTTATTTTTGACTTTTGACCAAAAACAATGATCATAACTAGCAAGGAAAAAACAATGTATTACAGTGTAATGTGATTCTTTTGTGCAAAACTGTGAATTGATTGTTGAAACTCAACACCAGATATAATGACTTTATTTATATATATTTATTTTGTTTTATTATACAAATAAGACAAATGCATATAAACCCTTTGATTCAAATGAGAAGACTTCTTAAATAGTACATTTTTAGAAAATAAGAATTTGTTTTTACTTTTAATTGTAAAATTGTTACTTTTTATTTTTAAATATTTTAAATAATAATATTAATATATTTTGTTCAAACCATTAAAAATACAAAGTACAATAACAAACTATTTTATAAATAAAAAAAATTAAACATAGAATCCCTAAATTTTGAAGAAGTAGCATTTTAACGAAGCTGCAATATTTGTCACCAATATTCAATATGTATATGTAATCGATTAATACCGACACCAAAGGTCATGAAAATTCTTGGATAAGAAGCAACTTGTGGTGCCCAATATTAAAACTCCTAATTAATGGGCGTAAGAATAATATTAATTTTATGAAAAAAAAAATTAACTTGTGTAACATATAAATGATAAAAAGTTATAAATAATTTTTTTTATTAAAAAGTATAAAATCAAATGTAATTTAATATTACAATTTTTATTAAAAAATTATTATATATAACTTTTTATAACATTGAACATGTTAAAAATATCGTATATTAAGTAATAGTAATATAACATTGTCAGATTTTGTTCACCAAAACCCGTAAGAAACACATAATTGAGGCTATATCATTTTCCAAATTCCCATTTGATCAATCAATTAATTAATCAATTACCGACATCACAAAATAATAGCTTAGATCATCCCGCAGCTCGCAGTAGGAACCAGCAATTTAGCTTGACATTGTCAATAACCAAAATTATTGAATAGGCTCTGGCAAGTAATAGTTAAGTGCTAATTACAATCGATTAAAATATTTTATTGCTGTCTGATGATTATGTAGATTTTGCTATCGTTTACCCTTTTTTTATTTGTTTTATTTTATTTTTAAAATTTTGATGCTTGCGTCAGTTATAGATTTGCTCTACGACCTAAATAATGTAGATAGTTTACATATGTAGGTTTAAAATTAAACACAATTACTAGCAAAAATAAAATAAAATAAAACACATTTTGTAAATCATCAACCTTAGCTTATAAATTTATTGTTTATTGCAATCTTCTATGTTTCTTAGTTCAGTCTTGCCTTTTAACGTAAAAGTAAAATTTAACTTAATTTAAAGTCAATTTAGAGACTTACATCTTATAAAAATTAAACTTAAGTAATTTAAATATATTAATTAATTTTCAAATTATTTGGTAATATTATTTAACTTTGTATCAAAGTACTAAATTATTTAAACAATATAAATTCTTAAGTATATATTTAAATAACAAATAAACAAGCTAGATAATCTTGTTGATTTAATACGTATTATTTTTAAGTGCATAAACATTAACTTCTTTGATATTTATTTAGAAGAACTTATTAAAAGTTTATAAAAATAGTTTGAGTCATAAATTCTTCCAGACTCATTTCAATAAACTTATTGATATAATTTATTTAAATAAAATGTTTTTTATTAATTTAAATAAATTTCATAATTACATTTATAACACAAATTATCATATAAAATTATTAATTAATTTCTTAATTAGGTTATTTATTCAAAATGGACATTTTTAACACCTAAACGTAATTTATTCACTGAGTAAATTATATCTCTTGATGTTATACACAACATAAACTGGATAAAAATAGAATTTCATAACAGTCAGTAGGTTCACACTCTAACAGCCAACACGGGGTATTTCGAGCTATATGCATGGTTGTGCTTACCTACGAAAAGTCTAACTATGAAAAAATATTAGAGTTTTGAAACTTTATTAAAAGAACCCTAGGGACAGTGATTTAGACATTCTTTCATATCTCTTTTCACACCTCTCACCTATTTATATTTGTAATCTTCAATTTTGGTGTTGTTCAGTTGCTAACGATTATTGGAGTAGCATATCTTAGGATCAAAAACTTTTTTTATTTCTTTTTCGTTGGAGATTCTTTTAATTTGCATTTACTTTTTGAATAACTATGGATTTGTTTAGTATTGTTTTGGTTCTTATTTATATTATATCTAACTAAATCCATAAATAGGGCTATGTTAGAATTTTTGCATGACTCTAAGATTTTTATGATTTATAATAATTTTGTGTCTCCATTCTTGATGAGTGTTTATCCTATTAAGTTAGATTTATATATTGAAATTGACAACTCTTAAACATATCATAATCAATTATATATATTGTAGGCAATCATATCATATATAGTTAATAAAGCTATAGGATAAAATGAGACAAAAAAATTAGGTCGATCAAACTTAGTTCTTATCTTTCAATTGTTATTAAATTAATAGCTTGTAGACACTTTATCCTTTCTCTTCTTTTTACCTTGCATTACCATTAGGGATGATAGTTTAGATAAAATATTATTATTATTACATGATTATTAGGTGTTAATAGATTTAATATGAGTTGTTGGCAATTATAAGGAAATCAAAATTAGAATTAATCTAATAGTAAACATAGAGAAGTGTAAAAGTTATACCATATGCCTTAGGTTCTTCTCGATTAATTTATTGTTAGAGGATGTACTATTTTTATTTTTTTAATTAGTTTTATATTTAAATCTTTATTTTATTTAATTTCATATCTTTTTAGTTCAAATAATTAAATTAAAAAAAAATTTATAATTAAAAATAATTCTTATAAAATAATATTTCAAGAACTTATTTTAGAATCTTTTATTATTTTTCGATAAGTATACTTGTTTACGAATATAACAAAATCTTGATATACTATCTCTGTAGATTCTCATCAAATAATATTATTATATTAGAGGTTTTTGAGTATCTAAGTACACATAAATAAAAAATTTATCGCAAGATTTCTTGGTAGAACAAAATTTCGCAATAAGAAAAAGGATCATATAATTCTACCAGATCACTTTGTACATCTGATAACTTTTAAGAAAATATTTTAAAACATATGTGAACGGTTGCTTCCTGATATATCTATTAAGAGCTTTGCAAGGATTTATCAATTAAACACTTCTCAAGTCAAAAAGAAATTCACCAATTAAAAGGTACTTCAAGGCAATGAAGGTACTTTAAGGCAACAACTAATTCACCAACATAAAATCTATTGTTGTCGAGTATAGTATCTCAACAAAAGGAAGGTAGAAAACACAACCAATTGACATTGTTAAAGAACGAGCATATGTTTTAAATCCATTAGAAGAACATCTATTATGTCTTCACATGCATAAGGTGGAGAAGTGGAAACTCATGAAACCATAAAACAATAGATATCAGAGGTACAAATGTCAAGTCAATAAAGGCAAAGGGTATAGATTAAATGGTGTTTGTAAATAAAATTGCCTTAATGTATAAGAGTGAGAACCGTCAAAACTATTGAAGAAAAGTTGACGTTGAATAAAAACACTCATAAAATTCTACATTATAATTCACCAAAAGACTGTTTGCTTTCTCACCAGTGAAATAAGATTGAAGAATTTTACAATTTTGTCTAGTTAAGAAAAAAAAAAATTACTTTTAGAAAAAATAGTGAAAAACAACCCACTTAATATGGTAGTTGGTTACCAGGAAAACCTATATAAAGTTACACTGAATAAAAGATTGCATAATCAATGATTATATCATCCCATTTTAGGAAATTTTATACATCAATAGAATATATATATCATTAAATGTATAAGTGTTGATAATTTAGCATCCTCAGGAGAG